TGTTAATGATACTGAACATTTTTCAGCTCTTTGCTCAACATTTTGATATTCTCCTGGGTGAAATGTCTGTTATCTCTTTTGCCCATGTGAAAATTAGATTTTTTAAGAACTGTTAAGTTTTGAGAGTTTTTTATATGGTCCACAAGAGAGCCCTTTGGGAAATTAGGTGACTTGCAAATGTTCTCACTCGGTCTATAGTTTCTCTTTCATCTTCTTCACATGGGTTTTTTCAGAACAGTGCTTTTCATTTTAAGGAGGTCCAATTTATCAATTTTTCTTTACATGGCTTGTGCTTTTGCTATCAAGTCTAAGAACTCTTGCCTAGTTCTAGATACTTAAGATTTTCTCTTAGGTGGGCCTCCCCTCATGATGCAGTAGTTGAGCTGCCCGCAGCCTCTACAGAACCAGTTCGATCCCTGGCCACCAGCGAGGGTCCCACATGGCGCGCAGACCTCTCCTGCTGTGCCCGCTGCTCGCCTCAGAAGTGTACTTCATCAGTCTGCCTGTTCAGTTCCCTGTTCTGGCTCTGGCGAATTCTCTCACCCTCCCATGCTTCTGACTGTACCCAGTGCTTGCATAAATAAATAAATAAAACCTAAAAAAAAAAAAAAAAAGATTTTCTCTTAGGGCCTCCCCTGGTTGCACAGGCGGTTGAGCGCCATGCTGTGAAGCTGTCCGCAGCCTCTGCAGCACCAGTTTGAGTCTGGCCAGCCAGTGAGGGTCCCACATGGCGCAGCAGACCTCTCCTGTCATGCCCACTGCTCCCCTCAGCAGTGTGTTTCATCAGTCTGCCTGCTCTGTTCCTCACTCTGTCTCTGGTGGATCCTCTCACCCCTTGCATCTCTGACCTGTACCCCAGCTCTTGTGTGCATAAATAAATAAATCTTTAAAAAAAAAAGATGGATTTTATGCTTTGCACATTATCTCAATAAAATATACTAATAAATTCATTTAAAAAAATATATAAATGCTTTAAAGTTAACATTTACTTAATCAAATTATCTTTCATGTTGACTTAATCACTTCTTCAGGCTTGAAGAATTCCAAAGAGTAATTTCCTTGTTCCATTATTCAATAAGTAACATTTAAAGTAATTTTGTGTAAGATAGCCAACAGGCACATGAAAAAAAGTTCATCGGAGAAATGCAAATTAAACCACAATGAGCTAACACCTCACTTATGAATGGCCTATATCAAAAAGATCAAAACAAGTGTTGGAGAGGGTGTGGAGAAAAGGAATCCCTCTAACACTGTTTGTGGGAATGTAAGCTGGTCTAGCCCCTATAGAAAGCAGTAGACGGTGCCTCAAAAGATTAAAAATGGAGGGCCTCCCTGATGGCGCAGCAGTTGAGTGCTGGGCTGTGAAGCTGCCCGCAGCCTCTGCAGCGCCGGTTAGATCCCGGGCCGCTGGCAAGGGACCCACATGGCGCTTCTCCTGCCCAGCCCGCTGCTCCCCTCAGCAGTGTATTTCATCCGTCTGCCTGTTCTGCTCCCCGTTCTGGCTCTGGTGAATTCTCTCACCCTCCTGCGCTTCTGACTGTACCCAGTGCTTGTATAAATAAATAAACAAATCTTGAAAAAAAAAAAAAAAGATTAAAAATGGATCTTCCATACCACCTAGCAATTCCACTCCTAGGTATCTATGCTAAGAATACAAACACACTAATTCAAAGGGAAACTTGCACTCCTAGGTTCAATGCAGCATTGTTTACAATAGCCCAACTATGGAAACAACCTAATGCCCAAAATACATGAGTGGATCAAAAAGATGTGGTGTATACACACCATGGAGTTCTACTCAACGATCAAAAAAGGCAAAGTCATGTTATTTGTGGCAACATTGATGGAGCTGGAAGGGATTATGCTAAGCAAAATAAATCACAAGGAGAAAGACAAACACCAGATGGTGTCACTTATTGTGGAATATAGAGAAACCAGAAAAAAGGGTTAAGATAAAGCCAAACTATAGAACTGAGACATTCAGAGGAGGTGGAAAAGGGGAGTTGGAGGGATGAGCACAAAATGGGAAGGGAACACAATAGACTATGCGGGTGAACAATGGGTGCTTTGGTAGTGGGAGTGCTATAGTAATGGCACAGAAATTGGGGATCATGTACTTCCAGAATACAAGCAACAGTGTAAACCAACATTACCTCAAAAATAATAATAATAATTTTGAGTCTAATAAAAGGTATATATCCACACTTTAAACCTCAACAGCAGGATGTTGGCAAGCCACACTCAGAACTCACTGTAGTCAAATTGGACGGGAAAGAATATTACTTGGACTCATGGGAAAGTGGACCCATGAACTCTGAATGTAATGAATAGCTGAAGTGGTTATGGATTGTCTTCCATTGGGAATGGAGGGCCTTTGAGTGACTTTATGGTTGGACGTAAGATGGATGGATGACGTTAGTGGATCATTTTGAAAATATATAAAAAGATCAGCTGGGCACAGAGCAGAATGCTTGCTGAATGAAAGGTACACCCCCAAAAATAGTTTGTTTAGGAGCTGGTGACCAAGCCAGCATGTCATGATGTAACAGGGTGGTCCCCAGGAAAGGGGGAGGTTCCCTGCCCCACCCAAGGGAGGGTGGAGCTGAGCAGGGAGAGGAAAAACTGCAGAAGAGACTGAGGAAGGAAGAAGCAGGATGGAGCCAGGAGACCTGGAGGAGGCGCGTGGAGCCTAGAGACATGTGAAGAAACTGCGCTTGTCTTTTGGTCGTGGACTGGGTGACACAGATGTGGGTGAGACCCATGGGGAGGTGACAATGGCAGCTTTTATCTTGATGTTGATTTTGCTCTTTTCCTTCCGGGCTTGTCTCGTTGTTTCTGACCCTTTTCTGTGGGTCCCCACTGGAAGATGCTTTAGACTTGTGGCAGGCTTTGGGGCCTTGCTCTGGACCATTCCCATATGGATGGACTTTTACCCACGAGGGGATGGGTAACTTTGGGTGCTTCATTTAGAAACTAGACTCTTTGCCTTACCTGTATTGTTTCCTAGTTTTATTAAAGTTCCTTCCCATTAAAGTCTCATATGTTTTGTGTTGATGCGGCGGATGGTAGAACCCATTTAGAATAGGCAGGTTTGCGGGGTTTGGGCTGCCCCTCTCCCTGTCCTATAACAATGACATGATTTCTTTGGCTGGGGTGCACTGTTTCAGAAAAGGCCCTTTGTATACCCATGCACTATTCCATTCTCAGGGTAATGAAGGGAAAAATTATGTTGTGCCACCCAAATCCTCTCCCTTGGCCACAAATGTCATGATATGGAGAAAATCCCTCCATGGCAATTTAGACTAGAAGCAGAAAAAGTGCCACAAAGAAGACATCAATATCTTCCAGAGATTGAAGATGAAACATATCAAACACTGGAGACCTGTATCCATGTGGATACCAATATGTCTTCGGATAAATTCCCCTTTTCCTTGAAATGAATTTCAAATGGGTTTCAGTTCCAAGTAACCAAGAGTCCTAACTAATTCCATTCAAGTTTAAATCATCTTCTGCTTAAATTCTAGTCATTCAGCTCTTCCACAATTGGGAGGTTTAGTTCCACATAAAGTCACACCTTTACTTCAACCCTACCACATCAACTGAGGCTATCTCTACCCACCCATCCCACCCTGTTACAATGACAAAAGTTAAAGTGATCCTGCTGGGAAATCTATATGAGTAAGCTGTTTTAAGATTACAGTAAAGAAGACAGAGATTCGAACTAAGACTAGAGTCTAAAGATTTGCCCAGCCTCCAGAAAAACAAATGATTAAGTGGTATTTATAGCTGTTTATATAAACCAACCTGATGCTATGTGATATAGAGCTTTTGAAATTCCAGATAAACAGAGTGATTTGTCAAAGGCCATGTTAAGAGCTTTTGCAAGATCCATTTTCACTGTTCATTTCATTTTGTTTTAATCATATTTGGATTAGCCAAACCTGAAGCATGTTGCTGTTGTCTTTATGAAAAACAACTACTGGAATACTGAGAATTAAATTAACCAGGGGAATGGAGACAACATAAATTCATGATTTCCTTTTTCATAACATTTAATTTAGTAAAAATAGCTAACTTACCAGACCAGATAGGAATATCATTAAATCTCCAATCTATGTGGTCTGAATTGTTACAAATCTCCTTCCAGGTAAAGGAAGTTCAACAATACCGTGTCTCTGGGGGCAGTCAAAGCACTCATATATGATGTATCATATTCAGATCTTAGAACAAAATAGTGTAATTACATTGATTTGATCATATCCTTACATTAAAGTCTAAAACTAATATAAATAGGGGTGCTATGGATAATGTTATGAATTCTTTTTTTTAAAGATTTATTTATTTATTTGTTTGTTTATTTGTTTGTTTGTTTGTTTGTTTATGCACGCATTGGGTACAGTCAGAAGTGTGGGAGGGTGAGAGAATTCACCAGAGCCAGAGCAGGGAGCAGAGCAGGCAGACGGAAGTACACTGCTGAGGGGAGCAGCGGGTGGCAGGAGAGGTCTGCGCGCCATGTGGGACCCTCCTCCGGTAGCCGGGAGCGGCCGGGGATTGAACGGGCGCTGCAGAGGCTGCGGGCAGCTTCGCAACCCAGTGCTCAAACGCTGCGCCACAGGGGAGGCCCCGAAAATGTTATGAATTCTAACTCTCCTTACCATAGGAAAGCATTACTAAAATAGTGATAGGTGAAGTTATAGTAACAGAAAAGGTAACAATCTAGCCCAAAGACATCTACAATCAGGGATGTAACTATGGTCTGTATAGGAGATCTGATTAGCACTGGTGGCCCATCTAATTTGTAATTTCCTATTACTTTCCCTTTATTCTACTCTGGCAGAATAAATACCACCCTCCACCACCACAAGTGAATGATCATTGCACTGCGAACAGACTTAACAACGGACTTAACAGCTGCACTGAGAACTGACTTAACAACACAGGCACAAGAGTTTTTTACATTTAAACATTCAGGGATGAAGGGTATTGACCACACATCCTACCTAATATCTGAGAGATCACACTTGTTCCCAGCAATGGCCATCACAATGTTTTCTGGACCATGTTCTTTCAGCTCTTTCACCCATTTCTTCAAGGTATGAAATGAATCCTAAACCAAAAGTATAAATGAATCATTGAAAAGTCCCACTAACATAATATTTCAACCTAGTAGAAATACAAACCCAACACAACCTTTTTAAAAAATATTTTATACATATATATTTTACATCATTATTCATTTTTGTACAATGTTTGTACAAACTCTCCTCTCAGGTATATTCCCTGTAAAATTCCCACCAAATCACCTGTGAACCATCACCAGTCTCTTTGCTGTCCCCACCCCTGTTTTAATCCCTCCCCCCCCCTTGAATGTCTCCAATTTATAGTTGTCTGCTAGTTTTGTCTTCTTCTTTTTTTTCCCCTGATCCCTTATTTCAAACACAACACAACTTAATGGATAAAAATATTTTCAGGAGATTCATATAGGTTAACATACTACTCCATATTTTGACACAAAATTTGTTATTAGTTAAGCTAAACTTAAGTAACCTATATTGAGTAGAGGAAGTTAAAAATCATTTAATTTTATTCTATAAATAATATTAATTTACAAGTATAGCCTGACCTGGATAATGTCCATGCTTATTTCACAAAAGAAAAAGAAATATGCACACACTTTAGAACCTTCTTTTCCTTTCTGCCCCTCACTTACAACTGGCCTCCAGGAAATGAGCCATGGTGAACACCACATTTCAGGACAAGTGGCCAGGAACTCATGAATGGCCACAACAATGGCTTACTAAACTAACAGGCCTATGAGTCAGCCCACAGGAGTGGGGAAAATATCAGCACAGCACTGAAGTTATTTGTTGAGGGACAGATTAGACCTCAATGTGATCACTACAATTCTGTTAATATTAAACATACACAAACACACTATACATACATAAATATTATCTTTGGCATTTTAAATAGTATGATTGAAACATGAATAGAAAATAATATACTGTCATTATAAAGCATGCAGAACTTAAAATAAGTTTCTTTTTCCTAAAAAGCTGATATTTCAGAGAACAGTATTAGCCAGCATGAACTTGCCTCTACAGACTGTCAGTTTACAAAATGAATACTTATTGTTTATTGTTTATTTAATTTATTGGGTAAACCTGAAATGCTTTGTTACATATACAGGAAATATACTAATACATAGCATTCATCATCCCTGACCACTATGCTGTGAAATCCAATTCCTGGCTCATCAAGACTCTAACGAACAGGTCTCTGTTTGGTCTAAGATCAAAATCACCATAAATGGCAACAAAATTCTAAAGGGGACATTCTTACCTGCTTGGTGATGTCATACACGATGACAGCTGCAGCGGATCCACGGTAGTACATGGGAGCCAGTGAGTGAAACTGTTTGGGAACAGTGAATAGTTTTAGGCCAAAGGAAGCATGTATCATGCAATTCAAATTAAATACAAAAGTATTTTCCTGCATCACCTCCACAGGATCCCTGAATCTTTTCCTCCCTAGATTTTTTTCTCAGGGTTCATATTAGAGAATACATTTTCCTCCTCCACTATGCATACATTTGTGGTTTACAGGCCATGAAATTCACGCTTGGGCAAAGGCCAAAACTAAATTTTATTTTAAGTGTTGCTATTCTATGAGTTTCCTTTTCTCTACTGCTCATTACTTATCTGATATGATTGACCCAGGGCAAGCTCATTAGAATTACGCAGCAGTAAGAAAGAGATGTTTGCCAAGGGGAGAAAAGGACAGGATGTGCCACAGATCACAAGACCCTCGCTGAGCCATTAATGAGGAACACTGCAGCAAGGGCACCTTGCAGCCCGCCCCGGGTCTGGATGGCGGCATCCCCAAGTGCATGACAAATGGTGAGACAGATGAGTTTCATTCCAAAACGTCACCTAAGCGAATATCATTAGTCATGAGAATCATTTATTCCCAAGCAGGATAACTGTTCCAAGGATATATACAAATCATATGTATATTTTGAGGAATTTATCTTTGTGTATCTCTGACTGTATTTGGAAAAAATACTGTTCAGGGTTTGGAAAGTCGCTAAGAAAAAGATAACTCAAAAGAAAAATGGATAAACAGAAAAATCACAGAGGAGAAGATAAAACTTGCCAATAACATTTTAATATTCAATATTTTAGTGTTTAGTTATAATAAAAGAAATGAAAATTCCCACTTCTGGGTATTTATCAAATGGAAATGAAATTAATAACCTGAAGAGATATCTGAGTTATCTATGCTCCCATATTCACTGCAGCACTGTTCACAAGAACAAGGCAATGGAAATAAACCAAAAACGTGTCCATCGACGAATAGATAAAGAAAATGTGACATTTAGTACTAATATTGACATGATTCTATAAAATTATATAATACAAAATTATAATATTGTTATTACATTAATCTATAATGGGATATTGTGTAGTCTTTATAAAGGAGATCCTGCCATTTGTGACTACATGTATGGACCCGAAGGACATTATGCTAAATGAAATAAACCAGAAACAGAAAAGAAAAAAACTTTATGACTTTACTTATATATGGAAACTGACAAAGTTGAACACAGCTGCTGCCAAGGTTCCCATGAAGAAACTGGCTAAGGGGACTCCCCCAAAAAAGAAGCAGGTCCTGAAGTTTCCCCTTGATTGCACCTACACTATAGGGAAGGGAATCCTGAATGCTGCTAGTTTTGAGATGCTTCTTCAGGAGAGAATTAACATGAAGAGAAAAATGGAGAATCTTGGTGAAATGGTTATAAATAACTGAACAGAACACAAGCTAGACCAAGATCACTATAACTTCCAAGGTACCTTTTTTCTAAAAGATATTTGAAATATATCACAAAAAAATATTTAAAGAAGAATAACCTAAATGATTGGGATTGGCTGCATGTAGTCATTAACAAAAAGAGTTATGAATTGTGTTATTTCCGTAGCCAGGGCAAATAGGAAGAAGATGTGAATTAAAGTTTGTTTATCTGGGATATTTTTCTGAGATCTTGAATAAAACTTGGAAACCAAAAAAAAATTTAAATGCATTGAGGCAGAAAACAGAACAGGTTACCAGTGGCCAAAGAACAGGAAATGGAAAGATGTTGGTCAAAGGGTAGAAAGTTGCAGTTAGGTTGAATGAATAAGTTCTAAGATCTAAGATTTTAGATCTAAGTTCTAAGATCATAGTTATCATAACGACTTTGGTTAATAATACTGTTCTGATCTGCTAATTCGCTGAGAAAGTAGATTTCAGTGCTCTCAGCACACACGTGCACATACACAGAGGTGATTATGGGAGCAGATATGTTAATTAACTATAATAGTCATTTCACTATGTACACATACATCAAATCATCATGTTGTGCAACTTATATATAAACAATTTTTTCCTTCCCTCACTGCTAAACAACCTCAATTTTTTAAAAAGTCCTTCTCTCAAAGTCACTAATGGAAATACATTTCAAAAGTTGAACTGTGTGTATCATTTGACCCCACTATTCCTCTCACACCAACACATACTGGAGTAAGCATCACACAAAGATACTCATCCCCTCTGTTGTATATCAGAGCAAATCAGCTTGAAAACAACCTAAAGGTTCATCATAGAGAATTTTTTAATATGTGTATATAACAGAATATTCCATAATCATAAAAATGATGGTGAGGATTTTTATTTATAGTAATAAAAGATATTCTTGACATATTGTTAAATGAAAATAGTCACAAAGCGACATATATACATAGCCTAATAGAACTGAAAGTAAAATGTGGGTGTGTGCCTGTATAACGTTTCTCAAAATGCTTGTGGTGGGATTTCCAGCAATTTATTCAATTTATAAATCTGTACAATGTAAATTTTTATGATTTTTTTAAATAAAATGGTTTTTTAGTTGAAGAAAAAGTTGACACTTCTATAGGGGAAGGGCAGTAGGAAGAAGAAGGTAAGGCAGAAAGGATGAATCCTGAAATTTTTCTGGCAAACAACAAAACCATCATTCATTCATTTTTATTTCCCACACAACACTTATCACTGAATAAATACTTGCCAAATTGAAATGATCCTATTTGGAAATCTGAAGCATATCAGTTCCCTAGCTTTCCCTTTCATTATAGTGAAAAATGCCAACACACACACACACACACACACACACACACACACACACACACACGAGTGGGGGAGGGAAGCAGGCTACTCTCCTCTAATTCCACCTTGAAGAAAACTAACTCTGGCGCCTCTAGAGTTTTCAGAAAAGGCAACATATTGGAAGGAGCTTGGATGAACTCAGGAGTTCACAGCTGAAGGGCCTTGGCCACTTTCCAGAACTCATTGGTGGGCAGCAGGCCATCTACCATGCAGGCCTCTCCATATTCATTGACTGCCCAACACTGTTTGTTGTTATTGTTAGGCATCAATAAATCTATTCTTTTTTTTTTTTATTTTTTTTGTGGGACCCTCGCCGGCGGCCTGGGAACGAACTGGTGCTGCAGAGGCTGCGGGCAGCCTCTCAGCCCAGCGCTCAACCACTGCGCCACCAGGGGAGGCCCTCAATAAATCTATTCTTAATCCATCCTCTGGCAATCTATTCCACTTGTAGAAAACAAAATGAATATTCCTGTCCAAAGGGACAGTAATAAATTTTTGAAACATTCTATTTTGCTAGGGGTAGAGAACACATATAGTATCCTTTTAATCCTGTGTCTTACTTTGTTCAATCATCCACTTAAATATATCAAGTAGGTAGAGTGTTTAAGCTCGAAAATCAAGTATACTCCTAGACACAAGCACAGAGAAGAAAAATTGTGAACATCCTCTAAAACAGAGTTCATTTCAGCTACAACACCAGGCACTGAATCTACAATGGCGACTGGTGTGCAGGTCTCATGAATTATTGAACAGGTCTTGCATGTAATGCATTGTTCTTTCCTTCCTCCAAATGGAACCATTTTGAAATAAATTTGTTGGTAAAACCACTTAAACAACTTTATTATTGGGGACTTGGGGGTTTTAATGAGCTGAAGGTTCATGTCTCAGTTTCAAAACCTAGTAATGCATTGACCAAGGGTAATATTGTGGAGGACAAAAAAGATAAATCACATCTAGCTTGCAACGTGCATAATTTTCTCTCATATAAATATAAAACAAAAGCACCACAATCGTTCTCAATGCTCAACATGACATCATTCAATTTCCGTTGCATTGGAAATAAGACTAACGAAATGCTCACATAAAAGAGTCTTCTAGAAACAAAGTTCACAATCAAAGAAGGTTGATAAAACTTTTCTTAAAATCTCACCTTGAAAGGTTATTTGAAGATTATCACAACAGATGCCAATTCAAAGTCCCTTCTTCCCTAACTATCCAACAAAATATCTAGAATGCCAAACTAAAGTGTTCAGGTAGCTCTAGTGTGCCATTTAATTATTTAGAAGAATAGCAGGGAATTGTGAAAAGCCAATTTAATTTGTTCCTCAAAAGAAATGGTTGTTGATGTCTCTAATGTGTGAGACTGTTTTTTAATGGCTAACCGTCTACAGGAGGGAAGGAAGGGGAAAGGCCTCTTTAGAGCTTCTTACATTTCTCCACTTTCACATTGGTACTAACCCTGTTCCCTTGTCCAGCAACTGGTAAAAGGATAAGTGTGCATACATTTATGGAAAGCAAGTGAACAATGTGTTTCTACAGTCTTGAAAATGTTCATATATTTTGATTCAATTCCACTTCTTAAGAATATAATCAGAGATGATTATAACTAATCTAAGTAATTAGAATTTGTTGTAAAATTATCAGTAATGTTAAAAAATGGGAACTAGCCTCAATATCTAACCATCAGAGACTGGAAACATATTTTGGTTTAGCCATATAATGACTATTAAGCACCAATTAAATTCAAGTTTCTGAAAAATATGAAATTGTTGGGGGAAAGGATGTCCTCAACAAACTCCACAAGTAGGTTTTATGGACCCCACCCCACCCCAGACCAAAGAGATCCAAGACACCAAGGACTACAAATCCAAAACTGAGGGTGGAGTTAAGTAACCAGATTTTGTATATAATTGGACATGTGGGCCTTGGGGGTCCTTGGTTTTTCACCAGCTTTCAGAGTGCTATTGGGGTTCCACCTCAGTGGAACTGGTAGGACGCATCCACCAATTTATTTCTTCACTTCCCCTTCTATTGTAAATAAACCCTACATTAACCTTTTTGTGTGTGCCTGCAGTTGAGTCTTATTATAAGTCCCTTTAAAGCGTGTGGGTGAGGACCCACAGTCAGAAAACCCATTTCACATCCAGGTTGCCTTATAGTGAGGCCAGACAGCCAGGGTTTTCTGCAGAGCCCTCAGCCCTTAAGGCGCATTTTAGAGAAAAGGTTTCTTAGCC